TCTTAGGAGATATTATCCTCAACATGCTAGTGTGTGATAACTAGAGAAGCACCTTAAGTTATAAGTAGAATATGAGTCTTAGATTTTTCTTCTCTACAGTGAGCTATTTAGCTCACCCATAATGGAAGTAACCAGAAAAGGAAATGTTTGCCTTTGGAAGCCAAGAAAGGAAAACATCCATGTTTGCACCCAAAGTTATTACTCACAAATGAACAGCCTAGTAGAAACCTAGGCTGTGATATTTGTCTTAAGCAAAATGTTCAGTCGTGTAGAGCCTTAAAAGCTATCGGTCTACTTTTTAAGTTTTAATTTGCATTAATAAGTTTAATAATCAACGATCAGATGAAATGAAAAGAGTAATTTTAAACTTAGTTACTTTATCTGCTAACTCCTCCCATTTCCCTGATGCTTATTTTTTCTATTCAAGATTTTAAAATATACATTGCTAGACACAGCAAAAAGCCATTTAAAAACCCCAAAAAACAAAACTTATGATTATTTAATACAAGTACTTCCTATTTCTTAGAAAATTTGCAAACTAATATATAGAAATAATCCATATTTCCCAGAAGGAACTTAATGTAAAAAAGACCTCAACTCTACAATAAATAAATCAAAAAAGCAGCCGGGCGTGGCGGCGCATGCCTGTAATTCAGGTACCTGGAAGGCTGAGGCGGAAGGATCGCCGGAGCCTGGCAGGTCGAGGCTGCGGTGGCCGGGAGCGGCCGCTGCACTCCAGTCTGGGCAACAGAGTGAGACTCAGACTCAAAAAAAAAAAAAAAAATTTTCTTTCTGAGAAGACATTTGTAGTTCAAAATGCCTGAAAAATGAGGAAATAAAGTAAAGTGTCAGGTGCGAGGCTGGAGGGAGAGAAAGATAAACAAGGCGCACCAAAGGACTTTCATGTTAGCGAAAGCCAATTCCGATGCACCGGGAACACAATGCGTGTTAGAAGCACGCATGCAGGCCAGGTACAGTGGCGCACGCCTATAATCCCAGAAGTGAGAGGACTGCCTGAGCCCACGGGTTTGAGACCAGCCTGGGCAACTTGGTGAGAACTCATCTCTACAATAAATCAAGAGAGTAGGCAGGCATGGTGGTGCATGCCTGTAGTTCCAGCTACATGGAAGGCTGAGGCGGAAGGATGGCCTGAGCCCAGCAGGTCGAGGCTGCAGTGGCCGGGAGCGGGCCACTGCCTTCCAGTCTGCCCAACAGAGTGAGGCTCTGATTCAAAACAAACAAACAAACAAACACACAAGCCAAAAGAAGCAGGCATGCTAGGGAAAGCAAAGGGCACGGAGCACCACCCCACCAGAAGGACTGGGAACACTTCAAATAAGGGGATATGGCCCAGAGGCATTGTTCCTGGGGAGGGAGGCATGGGGCAAATCCATTCACATCACCTAAGGCTGCTTGTCAAAAAGACAGATTACTAGGTCCCAACCCAGATTCCTGAATTCTCAGGTGACAAAGTCTGGAAGTCTGCTTGTTTTATTTTAACAGACATTCCAGCTGAATTTGATGTGAGGGGCCCACAAGCCACATTTAGTCACATTAAAATCTGATAACCGCTGCTCTAAGAGAAGGGTAAGACCCAACGAACAGATATGGCAACCAATAACCCTGGCAGGGGGACTACATGAAGACAGCCACGGAAGCAGAAAATCAGGGTATGTGGGACTTTAGAGGTTACAGGGTATGCTCAGTGGCCTAACATACTGTTGGGACTGTAGGTAGGCTAGCCAGAGTCTTGACTCACACCGAGTTTGAAGTCCACGCTAGAGGCAGTGGGAAACAATCAAAACTTTCTCAGCAAGCCTGTGCTGTGTTTGAACAAGACTACCATGGAGTCCAAGCAAGAAGCACTAAGACAATCATGTGAAGGCGGGAATGAGTGCCAGAGGCACGAGAGGCAAAAAGTCAAGACTCGGGGATCTGCTAGAACAGATTACTAGAAGGAACTGACAATCACTTTGAGGAAAATTTTAAGCCAGCCAAGTGCCTTCTCAGTGCCCAACACTGTGCCAAACACCACAGAGCATCCGAAAGTGTAAGAGTCATTAATTTAACAAAATAATTGAGGATCTTGCTGGGAGTGGGGGTCAGAGCCTGTAGTCCCACATAATCAGGAGGTAGAGGCAAGAGGATTAGCTTGAGCTCAGGAGCCTGGGCAACACGGAAGATCCTGTCTTAAAAACTGGAAAAAAAAAGTGCCAGGCTTAGCGACACATGCCTGGAGTACCAGCTACCAAGGAGGATCACCTGAGCCCAGGTATTTGACATTGGACAACACAGTGAGACCCTGTCACAAGAAAAAAAAAATTAAATAGAAAAAATGTTTTTAATGGAGTATCTACTACATGTGCCAAGTGCTATTAACATGGGGGAAAAAAAAACCTCTGTCCTCCAGGAGTTTAAAATTAGATCTCACCCTGTTCCTCTTTTCTTATGGCTCTATTTTTTATCATGGAAAACAGTGCCTGGAAGTTCTGTGGATTGCCCTTGAGGACGTCTTTGCTTCTAAGACATCAGGTGGCTCAAGCCAAGAACACGCAGGTCCTCACCCTGAGGAGTTTTACCTATTTTACACTAACGACAATGAAATACTTAGGCAAGTTTTCTCAGCCCTGATGACATGACAGTCCTGATGTGAGACTGGAGGATGTGAACTTCCAAATTCAAAAAATGTCAGGGAAGCCCAACTTCAATTAAATGGAGTTAGGACAAATATGGAACTTTCCCACAGAACTTTGGGGTACACAGTTGCTCGTCTGTGCATTCAATCAATATATACGGTGTGCATATTACAGACAGGTGTTTCTTCCCTGATGTGGAAAAACGAGCAAGAGCCCGAGAAAATAGAAAGGAAAGTGTGGCTTACTGAGAAAATGAACCAAGAAGAAAGGAGAATAAGAGGCATTTAAAGACAGAAGAGAGGATGAAGGGAGATACAAGGAGTATGTGGGGAACTTTTACAAGCAAGTCTACCAAGAACACAATAAATACTGACCAAAGGACAAAATACAGAAATCTCGGAACTGGACGGAGGTCGTTTGTAAAATAAATTCCTAATTTTCAATATATTATGCTGCCAGTCACTCAATTTTAACAATAATGTGAGTCAGTCCCTACCTTTTGGAAATGAACAAATTACTTGAAATGACAAGACAGACACACGATAGAAGAGAACTATACAAGATGGTGCATAATCATCTGCTAGTTGAATGATAAATGTAAGAGTCATAATTCAGAAAAAGTAAAGACGATGTGTCAGTTTTATAAAAAGCTACCATGAACACTTTTCTAGAACTTTAAAACAGCCAAGACTGCTTCTGAGCAAACAGTAACAGGAAAGACTACTGGTTGGACATTATTTTGTAGCCACACCCATAAATGTGGATTGCTTTAATGTTGGTGACATCATCAAACAACTTCCTAAGCAGCTTTACTTTTAACTGTTTCTTCATTTTACTCTTATGACAGTAAAACAGATCTGAACTACCTCTAAAGTGCTTACAGTCTAGATTGCTATCATTGCTGGAAGCTTTCCAGTCTTTGGCAAATAACACCTAAAATACAATCACAACATTCACAATTTTTAAAAATCTCAAAACACATGATTACAAATCTGTTTCAATTATTATGTTGGTATTTTAACCTGGGTTGAAGCCTTTCTTTTCCACTCTTCAACGCTGTCTAGCAGTTACAAAGTATTTTATGGGTAATCTTAAGACAACAGGGGAAAAATAAATGTAAAATAAATTCTGGGAGCTTCCCATGTGCAACAAAGGTAAAAAAAATTTCTAAGATTGTCTTTTTCTTTAGCAGTATTTTATAAAATGTGCTTAGGAGCCTTAAAAACATACCTATACATACACACACACAATACAAATATTTAAAAAGCACAGTGCTGTTGAATATTAAGGATTCTAATCTTTCTATATAGTAACCTTCCAGATCTTGTGCAGCTGGTGATAAAAAAGTAATTAATTCACCTCTACCATAAAATGAGTTCCTCTAAAGACTAAATAGCACGCTTGAACAACTACACTCAGTTACCAAACTCCAAGAGTCAAAAGGTCAGATTTTTAGAAACATGAATATAGTTGCTGTAATTCGGAGAAACTTATTTTTCACAAAGAAAACAATGTTAGAAGACAGTGCCTAAGAAAATCATCAAGACCTCTCTTTTTTTGAGTCAGAGTCTCACTCTGACACCCAGGCTGGAGTGCAGTGGCATGCTCGCAGCCACCACAGCCTCAACCTGCTGGGCCTTCCAAGTAGCTGGAATCACAGGCACGTATCACCATGCCTGGCTAATTTTTTGATTTATTGTAGAGAGGAGGTCTCGCCAAGTTGCTCAGGCTAGTCTCAAACCCCTGGACTCAGGCAATTCTCTTGCCTCTGCCTCCCAAAGTGCTGGGATTACAGGTGTGAGCCACAGCGCCCAGCCAATCTTACTTTCAAAAAGAAAAAATGACCAGTTAAATATGACAGCTTCACCAAATCTACAGTCTTCCTCATTTTTATCTTGCTTAATAAAAACTCCTCCATATAGCAATCCAAATTTCTGAGGCTACAATTCTGGATTGATACATTATATTGTGGAAGTCAATGAAAAAAGTATGCTAAAATCTGATACAGACTGAATATCCCTTACTCGAAATGCTTGGTACCAGAAGTATTTTTTATTTCAAATTTCTGAATATTTGGATATGCATGAGATATCCTGGGGGCAGAACCCAAGTCTAAATGGAATGTGTTTATGTTTCATATACATCTTGGACACATAGTCTAAAAGTAATTTTATAAAATATTTTTACACATATTCATTATGGCCAAGGACATATTAGGCCTGTCCCTTAACGTCTCTGTTCCATCATCTTTAAGAAGTTTTGGATTTTGAAGCATTTTGGATTTTTGAATTAAGGATGAGAAACCTGTGTTACTAAATTTCATTAAACTAAAACCATAACGTTTTAAAAGAGCGAATTTCTTACCAGCTGAAACTCTCGACGCCGGTCATAGGCATTCTGTATACCGCTGTCTGCCCATAATGCTCGTATAGCAGGAAGATATTGTAAAAAGACCCGTGTTTCCACCATTCCCTGGGCTGCCATGGGGGCCCGTGTGTCGAAAGCCATCATCTTGTCTCCATGGAGCTGGTTTGCATTATCTCCCCAAGGAATATGAAGCTTCTCTCGAGCATCCACCAGCACCCTCATACCTTTGTTTAAAGAGAAAAGAAAGTGTGGGGAGGAGTCATTAGATATTGTAAGTGTTTATTCTGGTATTTTTTCCTTACACTTCTGAATCACTCCAGGCCCACCTCCTCCAAAAAGGGAGACCAACACCAAAAACATCCGTAACTTCTCAGAGGCAAAAAAATCTAGCAGTTGCTTACCATCTTAAAACTAGAGCCTGCAAAAGCAAATACTCTTAACAATTGCTCTTTCTGAAGAATTTTAATGTGTTCCAGTTGATAAAAGTGGTCAAAAGAGAACCAGACTCAAGAAGGAATCAGAAATTAGGCTGCACAACCCCATGTCCAGGCTCTGAAGAAAATGTGTGCAACTGAGATTTTATGAGCCTACCTAAGAGATACTAAGAACCAAACACAGCTCTGTGTTCTGCGTGTTCCCTCAGGACCCTGATCCAACACTGAGACTCCTAGAACACATTTAAAACACAAGAACTTCTTCCAGCCCAAGCTTTGAGTCATTGTAAGGCACAGGATGGCCTCAGAGTTTCCTGAAAAGGAGGAAGACCAACTGCAAAACGATATAAGAGCAGACTCCAACTCACAGTTAGTTCCGACTCAGTATTTCTATCACCAAGTTGTTACAGGGCTGCTAGGAAGTCATTTGTTTGGACCATGGAAAAACCGGTTTGCCGTCAAATTTCTGATCACAGCAACTCAAAAAAACTGGATGTCTGGTGACTTACTTCATCTCATCAGTGCTAGTGCTCCAAGTAGGTCACACTAAGGACCTGTGTACACTGAGAACCAGACCTGTTCCTGGCTCGCAGTCAGTGAGCGTGTGGACTCTGTTCATTAACATAATCCCTTAAGTTCGGCTGCATCTGCAGACAAAGATACCTTCAAGTAAAGACTAGCAAGGCAGAGTCCCAGCCTTGAAAGAGAACTTAATTAGTTTGGGGCTAAACATTAAGGCAGGTTGACCGCGACTGCTCTTTACACAGTGGAACTGCAGAGGTGGGGGGGCTGAGCCGGCTGTGGCCCAGAAAGCGCAGCCATCACCCCACGATGCCTCCCTCTCCAGGCGGTTTTTCTCTCCCCAAGCTTAAAAAAAAACAACACTGCCTGGAAGGAAGGACCCGCAATCTGTAGCACACTCCTAGACAAATACAGAAAACCCTGATGCACCTGCAGTACCTCCCGGGCGGGGCCCCTCAGTTATGCCAGTTCAAACGCCTTTGATAGAGAACACGCCGAGCACTCAGGAAAAGAGTGCTGTCTTTCCAATGACAAAACGAAAACCACCTTCTCGATTCTCGACTTCTCCGAACACCCAAGGCGTGTGTACGCGCTTTTCACGTGCGGACGAGGTTTCACGTTAAGGTCCTGGCACGCGGGAGCGGAGCCCCCGCCAGCCCGGCCCTGGCCGCAGACTCCGCGCCCCGGGCTTCTGGGCCAGGCTTCACGGGCCGCGCCCCCGCCCCCGAGGCA